TCGAACTGGTTTGCCTGCGCCAGCCAACGTTTAGCCACCATCGCTCCTTCTCTACGGGGCGCCCCTTCACTCCTATGCAACACCAGCATTTCGTCCTGCTTCCAGCAGAAACCACCACCGTTTGTGCTTGCTTACTGCCAAGTCGCCTCTGAGCCACTGCCGAGACTCGAACAGGTTTGCCTGCGCCAGCTACCGTTTCGCCGCCATCCTCTCTCCTCTAAGGGTCGCCCCTCAACTCCCATGCAAAACCAGCATTTCGTCCTGTCTCCAGCAGAAAACCACCACCGTTTGCGCTTGCTTACTGCCAAGTCGCCTCTGAGCCACTACCAAGACTCGAACTGGTTTGCCTTCGCCAGCCAACGTTTCGCCACCATCGTGTCTCCTCTAAGGGGCGACCCTTCACTCCTATGCAACACCAGCATTTCGTCCTGCTTCCAGGAGAAAGCACACCGTTTGCGCTTGCTTACTGCCAAGTCGCCTCTGAGCCACTACCAAAACTCAAACTGGTTTGCCTGCACCAGCCAACGTTTCGTCACCATCACTCCTCCTCTTAGGGGCGACCCTTTACTCCTATGCAACACCAGTATTTCGTCCTGCTTCTAAGAGAAATCCACCACAGTTTGCATTTGCTTACTGCTAAGTCGCCTCTGAGCCACTACCAAGACTCGAACTGGTTTGCCTGCGCCTGCCAACGTTTCGCCACCATTGCCCCACCTCTAAGGGGCGACTCTTTACTCCTATGCAACACCAGTATTTCGTCCTGCTTCTAAGAGAAATCCACCACCGTTTGCGCTTGCTTACTGCCAAGTCGCCTCTGAGCGACTGCCGAGACTCGAACTGGTTTGCCTGTGCCAGCTACCGTTTCACCGCCATCCTCTCTCCTCTAAGGGTTGCCCCTCAACTCCCATGCAAAACCAGCATTTCGTCCTGCCTCCAGCAGAAACCACCACCGTTTGCGCTTGCTTACTGCCAAGTCGCCTCTGAGCCACTGCCGAGACTCGAACTGGTTTGCCTGTGCCAGCTACCGTTTCACCGCCATCCTCTCTCCTCTAAGGGTTGCCCCTCAAATCCCATGCAAAACCAGCATTTCGTCCTGCCTCCAGCAGAAACCACCACCGTTTGCGCTTGCTTACTGCCAAGTCGCCTCTGAGCCACTATCAAGACTCGAACTGGTTTGCCTGCGCCAGCCAACGTTTCGCCACCATCGCCCCTCCTCTAAGGGGCGACCTTTCACTCCTATGCAACACCAGTATTTCGTCCTGCCTCCAACAGAAATCCACCACCGTTTGCGCTTGCTTACTGCCAAGTCGCCTCTGAGCCACTACCAAGACTCGAACTGGTTTGCCTGCGCCAGCGACCGTTTCGCCGCCATCCTCTCTCCTCTAAGGGTCGCCCCTCAACGCCCATGCAGCACCAGCATTTCGTCCTGCCTCCAGCAGAAAACCACCACCGCTTTCGCTTGCTTACTGCCAAGTCGCCTCTGAGCCACTACCGAGACTCGAACTGGTTTGCCTGTGCCAGCCAACGGTTCGCCACCATTGCCTCTCCTCTAAGGGGCGACCCTTCACTCCTATGCAACACCAGCATTTCGTCATGCTTCCAGGAGAAATCCACCACCATTTGCGCTTGCTTACTGCCAAGTCGCCTCTGAGCCACTACCAAGACTCGAACTGGTTTGCCTGCGCCTGCCAACGTTTTGCCACCATCGCCCCACCTCTAAGGGGCGACTCTTTACTCCTATGCAACACCAGTATTTCGTCCTGCTTCTAAGAGAAATCCACCACCGTTTGCGCTTGCTTACTGCCAAGTCGCCTCTGAGCCACTGCCGAGACTCGAACTGGTTTGCCTGCGCCAGCTACCGTTTCACCGCCATCCTCTCTCCTCTAAGGGTTGCCCCTCAACTCCCATGCAAAACCAGCATTTCGTCCTGCCTCCAGCAGAAACCACCACCGTTTGCGCTTGCTTACTGCCAAGTCGCCTCTGAGCCACTATCAAGACTCAAACTGGTTTGCCTGCGCCAGCCAACGTTTCGCCACCATCGCCCCTCCTCTAAGGGGCGACCTTTCACTCCCATGCAACACCAGTATTTCGTCCTGCCTCCAACAGAAATCCACCACCGTTTGCGCTTGCTTACTGCCAAGTCGCCTCTGAGCCACTATCAAGACTCGAACTGGTTTGCCTGCGCCAGCGACCGTTTCGCCGTCATCCTCTCTCCTCTAAGGGTCGCCCCTCAACGCCCATGCAACACCAGCATTTCGTCCTGCCTCCAGCAGAAAACCACCACCGTTTGCGCTTGCTTACTGCCAAGTCGCCTCTGAACCACTACCGAGACTCGAACTGGTTTGCCTGCGCCAGCCAACGGTTCGCCACCATCGCCTCTCCTCTAAGGGGCGACCCTTCACTCCTATGCAACACCAGCATTTCGTCATGCTTCCAGGAGAAATCCACCACCATTTGCGCTTGCTTACTGCCAAGTCGCCTCTGAGCCACTACCAAGACTCGAACTGGTTTGCCTTCACCAGCCAACGTTTCGCCACCATCGCCCCTCCTCTAAGGGGCACCCCTTCACTCTTATGCAACACCAGCATTTCGTCCTGCTTCCAGGAGAAAACCACCATCGTTTACATTTGCTTACTGCCAAGTCGCCTCTGAGCCACTACCAAGACTCGAACTGGTTTGCCTTCGCCAGCCAACATTTCGCCACCATCGCTCCTCCTCTAAGGGGCGACCCTTCACTCCTATGCAACACCAGCATTTCGTCCTTCCTCCAGCAGAAAACCACCACCGTATGCGCTTGCTTACTGTCAAGTCGCCTCTGAGCCACTACCAAGACTCGAACTGGTTTGCCTTCGCCAGCCAACGTTTAGCCACCATCGCTCCTTCTCTACGGGGCGCCCCTTCACTCCTATGCAACACCAGCATTTCGTCCTGCTTCCAGCAGAAACCACCACCGTTTGTGCATCGTCCTGCTTCCAGCAGAAACCACCACCGTTTGTTCTTGCTTACTGCCAAGTCGCCTCTGAGCCACTACCGAGACTCGAACTGGTTTGCCTGCGCCAGCTACCGTTTCGCCGCCATCCTCTCTCCTCTAAGGGTCGCCCCTCAACTCCCATGCAAAACCAGCATTTCGTCCTGTCTCCAGCAGAAAACCACCACCGTTTGCGCTTGCTTACTGCCAAGTCGCCTCTGAGCCACTACCAAGACTCGAACTGGTTTGCCTTCGCCAGCCAACGGTTCGCCACCATCGCTCCTCCTCTACGGGGCGACCCTTCACTCTTATGCAACACCAGCATTTCGTCCTGCTTCCAGGAGAAAACCAACACCGTTTACGCTTGCTTACTGCCAAGTCACTTCTGAGCCACTGCCGAGACTCGAACTGGTTTGCCTGTGCCAGCTACCGTTTCGCCGCCATCCTCTCTCCTCTAAGGGTCGCCCCTCAACTCCCATGCAACTCCAGTATTTCGTCCTGCCTCCAGCAGAAAACCACCACCTGATGATAGTAAAAGAGCCAAGCCACCTGACCATTCGTAACTACTCGTGTCATTCCGGCAAGCCGGATGGCGTCTCATACCCCTCTCGTGGCCATGTTTACGACTGGGCCCTGTCTAAGCGCAAACGGGCACAGAGATGAAAATAGTCTAGCACTATTACCAAGGAAAGATAACTCTGAATTTCCAAACATGGCTCCTTGAATATCCAATATCCCGTGGGCAAAACAGCAATACAGTCATTCCCTTTGTAAATATGTTTCAGTGTTTTAAGTTTCTGGTCCTTTAGCTCAAAGTTTATGTTTAAATTGTGCTTTGCATAGTTAAGTGAAGTTTCAAACTTCAACGGTGACGCCATTTTCATGCTTCGAAATGCATTTTACTACTCGCGATTTGATTGGTTTGCCACGATTCTTGGCAAAAATGGCCTACGATAGGGGTATGAGTCTTCTTGTAGGTCACGGAAAGAGGCGAGTAGTTACGAATGGCCACCTGACGATGGTGCCATTATTTTGATTGGTCAGTTTTACCTGCCTCGATGACATCACGCTAAAAATAGATATGGTTGTCTTTAACACAGCGCTAGCTGAACTTGGCAATGCCTGGTGTTTATGTACAGTCTCACCACGTTAACATGCTCGTGTATGCTTATGGGCTATGGAGGTCATAGAAAATTGGTTCAACACTATCGGTACACATCTCTCCCGCCTTGCACTTGCTTCTTGTACACAGTGGCTATAGGGCAAGTGTGTTTACAAAATTATCGTTCAGTCAAGTTTTGATTTATTTATATCGCATAAAGTGAGTTCATCTAACCTATAGAAGCATCAACAATTACTGAGGTTGCAATTAGTTAAAAATGGATTCACTATTATTACAACACAAATGTGGTGTAGCTAAATTTTAAAAAGTAGGTCGCACTAGCCAGTTTGAATTCGAAATCGACGAGCGATTGTCAGGTTTGCACAGGCTGAGACATAATGAAAATGACTGTGTCAGCACCCAAGCCATATCTTTTTCAACTACCCTTTCACTTAGTGCCAGCTCACTTTGCTTTGTCATCAGTCCACAATAAACAAAGCTGTAATACACATACAGGAATATGACTTCCATACTCAAACACCAAACTTATTAAACATTGAGAATATTTTACGCAAACTCAGTGTATACCGCAAACCGATATACAGAGAGCTTTGTGAATTGCTGAGGCGTAAATCCCTCGCACACCCTGTGTGAATTGTATGGTTGGTAGAAGGGTGCGCCAACGTATCATAAACAAACCCTCTGAATTGCTGTGATCTAGATATCTCTCGCAGCGCATTCCATTGGCATCACAGTGCGGGGCTTTTTAGTAACGGTTGGCCAATTTATGATAAAGGGGTGATTCACTGACCCATTTAAGGTGACTAGGCTTACGCAATGAATGAATGCCACCTCGCCACCCCTGGCTAACATGAACCCTTCTTTTTGTTGACTTATATCAGGCCCTCCTATCTATTTGACTAAAAAGAAGCATTATTGGATGTAAAGTAAACTATAATGTGTGTTTAGCTACCACATGCGAAGGAATAGCATTAAATGTGTTGTGAATGCAGCAACTATCGCTGTAAAAGCGGTTGGCATCGGAAGCACTATACAGCCGCTATTGGAACCTAAAGCATCGGCAGCCGAAAACTTTCGGTCATCTCCGATAATTTCCGCGTTTCGCCGAACAACGCCAACACTTCCTGTCGTCACAGCGAGCGAAAAATGGCTGCCGACAGAGGAGAAGAGAAAAGGGTAAGTGTTTCAATCAACGCTTAGCTCCACATACTGTAATTCTGATTTATAAGGTAGTGTGCATTGAACGCATGTTATCATCCCCCTTTGATAACAATACTTCATCTTCGTAAAAAATGTATTTTGTGTCCATTATCTGCGTTTTTGTATGGAAGTCGAACGGATTTCAAGATGAGGTCGGCGGAATGAGGCTACCAACCTCCTTCGCTTTGAGTGAATCCTTACATGGCTTTAGAAAATTTATCGTGAAGGGATTCAGTGAGGAGCAAAGTGAGACTCAGTGTGAATATGGTATTCGGGGTTATTACGGACGATGACGACTTGAGCAATATTTTCATAGACCGGCTACGTCCGAGAGACCGCAGTTGTATTTTGCCCCATACTTGTAACGTATTCATTTTAAAACTGGAAGTGAGTGCGAACAGTATGCATTTTATTCGTGTCTAGTTGTGATTGAACCTATATTACTTTGTGTAACAGATACACTTACCAGACCATCATGTTTGTTTTGGGAAATACACAGTCGCCGAGTGTGCTGGGATCTGGTGGACGGATGGGCGAGATGTCTGACAGTTGTGACCTCCCTACTGTTGCCGAAACTCCGTCGACAGAGATTATACATGGAGTCTGACCAATACCAAAGTCTTCCAATGTGCCAGAGTAACCAGCTGTGATTCTCACACAAAGAGGTAGATTATTGCCCTTCAGTTTCAGTTCTCTTTGGGTTTTTTCGGTTAAATTAGATTGTAAAGATATGTGACAAACATGACACACACACCCCTTCTCATTCCATGTTTAAAATATAACTCATAATAATTAGTTTTGAATAATATTTTCTGAATTTATTTCATAATGTTATTCTCTTGGTTTGACACTTACAGGTCACAGTCTGCGGAAGTGTTCAAGACTTGAGCAACAAGATGACACAAGTTTCCTGGATGTGTCTCACTTAGATGAGACACCGATCAAGCTTCCAGGATAGATGAGACATTGTTTGTTGCAGCAGAGACTAAGCACAAACCATCTTTACAGTGGGGACCTGAGGGAAGATTGTCAAGACCTAAGGCTCCTTGAACCTACAAGTGAGGCGCCACACTAAAGATGTCAAATTCTCATGTGAATTGTGTGGGACGTTTTTCCTTATCAACCAAACGCTGAAGGAACATGTTGCTAAAGTACACAAACAGACTGGTTTGTCAAGTGCAAGGTTTGCAGTATAGTTACAACATTTCGGGGTATGGAAGAATACAAGTCTGCTCCATGATGAGCATGCACCCAAATACAGGTTGTGGTAAACTCATAACATAATCTGTCATGACATTTTTCATTGGTAGAATGAATGACCATGGCCAGTTGTCAGATCCCAAATACATAATTTGGAAACCCGACTTATAATTGCCACGATAACCATACCACATTTGCTTATTTGAAGTTCATTTGTTTAGATTTAGTAATAAAATTTCCTCAAATCTTTTTTTCTGTTGTTAGAGGTTGTAAATTCTTGTTGATGTTGGAAAATACTTGTGCATGCTTGTAATGTTTGTTCATGTGACTTTGTGTTTTGAAAGTAGTAGGAAGGATGCTCGGCTAACCAGGTTAGCTATATGATAATGGCAAAGATAACTAACAAATAACTGCAATGATATGTTTGATGTTGTTTTTATCAACCATGTTAACTTGTAATAAAGATATATTTGCAGCCATATATGAAGTTCAAGTGTTTTATTCATTGACAAATCTGAATATGACTTTCTTTGTCCAATGATAATCAGTAGATAAAAATGTCTTATTTTCTGTTTACTTAAGACAACATCACATCATTTCCAACTTTACAATTCCCATATTTACACATTATGAAAGTGCATATGTAAAAACATAACAGATTCAACACTTGGACATCTGTTCATCACAGTGGGCAACAGAAAGACCAGCTCTTATTAGTCGCTTCATCTTGCTTTCCTTGACTTTGTGGTAGCTCCAAGACCAGGTTCATGCACACTTGACATAACCTTCACCGGTTTCCTCGCACGATGAGCCTACTGAGGGCATCAAACAAGTGGTCCTGTAATAGGATTGAAGAACACTTTTAGTGGAATGCAATGTGTGTGTCAGAGTGTGTGAGTGAGTGAGTGAGGGGCTTAACTTTGACGGAAGAGGACCAACATTATTATACTTGAAAATATCACACCAAGAAGATAGCAATCAAATAGTTAAACCTGTGGAATCACACTGTAAACCATGGCACACTGATCAGTTAGTCATCTAAACAATAAGCTACCACACTGCTAGATTCTACATATTTAATAATGCTATTAATAGTAAAAAGTAATGGTAAACAAAACTGTCAGCCAGTGTTTGTTAGAAAACGCCATTAGTTAAACATATATAACTTTTAAATGTCAAACAACACCAGCCTTCCTAGTACGGTGTGGGACTTACCTGGTTGGATCTTGTCTTACAATGCTCTCCCCACAAATTTTGGACGTGTTGACATGTAAACCCACTGGAGGGAAGTGGACAAGTCAGCCAGTGACAGAAGGAATTTCTTGAACCTGTAACAATAAGAAATATAGCAATTTCATGAAGTTAAGAGAGTTAACGTTTAATCAGCCGTAGCTTTCATTATGGATGTGTTCATATTACAATGATCTGTAGTCCACAGAGGAAATTCTAAATCAACTCACCTAAATACCCATATGTATCATCCTGCATCTGTCAATAGCTGATATCCCTGGGTCATCACACGCCTGGAACCACTCACGAACCTGAAATGTGTTTAATATCTGTATACCAAGAGTCCAATTTCAACCAATTAACATGTTAATCAACATTGAGATACCAAATGCATGATCATCATATATTCTAATGCAAGTTACACCTGACTACATATGAAATAAGTTACATATTTGCGCAATTGATCATGCACACCTCTTAAGTAATTCAGAATTAAAATCAACAACATATCCTTTTATCAAGTTGTCAGCTGAAAACAGCCATAAACCAACATTCCCGATATTCACCGTAATTTCACTTGGCACAACTGTACTCGAGATCTAAACAAGAACACATTCACTACTACATATCTTAGACACAACATGCTAACACTGAAAAAATAAACTAGTACCAATGTGCGATTTGGAGAAATCATACCCGCCTCGATTAACTTTCAGCCTGCAACACTTCTTTCAGACACAACTGTGTAACCTAACTTGAGGCTGAACAGTGAACACACTGACGAGGCCGAACCCTACCCATTTATTTACGGTAACTGATTAAACAAAACACGTATTCCACATCAAATGACAAATCCAGCTGCATATACATGATGGTTGATCAATGATGTGGGTGTTATGCATAAAAATCAAGACTTCAACCCGGAATATACAAAAGAAACTACTCACCTTGTCACTTGTTTCGTTTCGTCCGCCATTTTGTCGTACAATGTTTTTCCGGAAATGGTGTTGTCATTCAACTACGATCGGTTTTTCACGGATACAGTCGAAGTTATTCCGCTGCATTTTACCGAGTTTCGCATAGCGGCTGTACGCGTATTCCGCTAACAGCCGCTGTCAAATCCGATAGTACCTCTTTTTGTTCGTATATGAACTGCATTAGATAGCAATACAGACGCTATGCTACCAATACGCCATCATTATGATCTCATTTAACGCTTTTTCATCACATAGATAGGAGGGCCTGTATATGAAAGTTTACACCATTCACTTATCACCCCAGCAGTTGACGTCGGACGTGTAGGACGTGGGACAAACAGCTTCTTGCCTGTCAGCGTTGAAATTGCATGGGAAAACCTGCTTCAAGTGTCATTTTATCAGCGGTCGCAAATCGAGAAGGACGCGTTTTTTTTCGAGCTCTCGGGAGACAGATACTTGGTGTCGCTCACAGCTTCTCTCCTACCGTTAGCGAGAGACAGGTGTAGTGTTAAAGCTTGGTATGAATGAATTGTCTCCTTTGCTTTAAAACTATTGTATTTATCTGTTTTAAGTTATACATTCCCACTTAGCTACTATATATTGTTGGTGGGAGTGAATTTTTTTTTTTTTTTCATTCCCCGGCTAGGGAGGCTGACTGATGGTTCTAAACCCGACTGTATGAGAATAATGGAAGTGTATATGTGTCATACGGAGGTCGCTCCCTAGCTCACTTTGAATTGAGTAAGTCATTGTAAATGAGAAAGTGTCTCCGTTCAAATGATGCGAGAACCTGGTCTATTGATGTTCGCAATGCATCTTTGAATAGAGTTACTGAAACCAGCTCTCAGTGACTAAGGGAATTCTCATTATGACATGACTCACTCAATAGTGTTAGACAGATTAAAATGTATTTCCTATTCAACCTAAGGTGATGTCTTACAGGTTTTTGTTTTCTATATAACATTCTTATGGAAAGTAAATGAATGAAGTGATAGTTTAAGGGAAATCACTGCATCTTACTTAACAGTAACTTGATTATGATTTAATAAGATCTGTCTGCACCGGCTAGGGAGGCTGACTGTTGGTTCTAAACCCGACTGTATGAGAAAAATGGAAGTGTTGATTTCTCATATGGAGGTCGCTCCCATAGCTCACTTCGAGATGGGTTAGTCATGGTAAATGAGAGAGCGTCCCCGTTCAAACGATGTGAGAACCTGGTCTAATATGTTCGCAATGCATCTTTGAATAGAGTTACTGAAAAACAGCTCCCAGTTTCTAAGGGAACTCTCATTATGACGTGACTCACTCATTAGTGTTAGATTACTTAACAATTTTAATTTGAATTGATGTGCGATTGTCTGGTTTGACATGGTGAGACATGGTGAGACATGACTGAACTAAGTATGACGATAACATTGTTAAGGGAAGGGGGTAAAATACTACTTCTTGTTTTTTCTTTAAGCTATGCTGCTAAATGATAAATCTTAAAATTATATATGACGTGTGCATATAAACTACATGACATGAACTCGTCCTTTAGCATGAGTGTAAAAAATCTGGCATAAGATTAAAATTTCATTCCATAACCAACAGCTAAACAATTCGGATGTTTTTGAAGAGCTCTCTCACAGAAACAACTGATACCTATCACCTGAAGGTAACAGCCAGTCTATTTCCTACGATTAGTTTCAACTGAATGTTCAAAATAAGAATTCACATATATCATGTAATGTATAAAGTCTTAGCAAAGTTCAAGGACGAGCTGGGTGGTCATATCATGGAGGAGTTTATTGGACTACATCCAAAACTATATTCATTTTCTTTTGAACAAGAAGTCAAAGAGAATAAAATAGAAAATGGTCAGGACAATGATGACACAAAAATAGTCATGGCAGAAAAACATACAGCAAAAGGGGTTTCCAAAACTGTCATTAAGAGACAGCTGAGACATGAGCTCTACAAGCAGTGTCTCTTTGACAAAACTCAAGTTCGACATGAGATGAACCAAATTAGGAGCTATGAACATCAGCTCTATACAATTGCTGTCAATAAAATCAGTCTTTCGCCTTTTGATGACAAGCGTTATATACTAGATGATGGGATCCACACACTTGCTCATGCTAATTATAAGATCAAGTCTTATACAAACAGTTAAATCTATCAATAGTGTGTCTGTTTGATGTATGGAAGCCATTTCATTCCTAGCTTATTCAAAGTATATACAAATGTATGTTTCTGAATGCAGAACTACATAACCTTTTCACTGATTTGAATTGGATGTAGAGTACCTTGTTATATTTGTATGATTGTACCACAGTGTGTAGGCTATTTAACCTGCACTGGGAAATATCAATATGTCTGTTCTAACAAGAAAGAATAAGACCCTCGTTATTCTGACGTATGTTTCACATTTGTTGTTTGTATCATACCTATGTCAATGTGAATATATTTGAATCCTTGATGTAAACACATCTATGTTATAAAGTTTATACAGATGTTATTTCTATTAACATACATTGTAGATATGAATAGAATTTTGTAATTATCATACTATGTTTGTGTGATCATGAAATAAATATCTTAACTTTTATTTAGAATTGTGTTATTCTTTATGAGTGTTGTTATATCTTAGCGAAATTATCAGTGTCATAGCACCCAAAGTTTATTACATCTATATATATATAACACGGGCTTATGAACAACCCAACTTAAAAGTTGATTGAGTATGGATCACAAAGGTTCCAATAAACAAAATAAAAACGACTGTGCGGTGTAATTTACACATTTTAATATATGAAGACATCAACACAGGGATACACACAAACATACATGTACATTCTTGTTAGTGATTAGATATTCTGTGTACATATGTGTCCTATACAACCATAAGTGTTTTTTCATGAATTATCAAAGTTCATCATCTGAAGGTTCATTGTCAGATTGTTCATCAAGTTCTATATCTTCAACCTCGGACAGGTCCACCTTGGAGAGGATGTCCTTCACTACTGGTTTCAGCCACTGACTGATTTTAACATCCATATCTGCATGATCCATGTCAGGGTCCAGACCAGTCACTCCAAAAGAGGCTTGAAGAGTGGTCCATAACCAAAGTAGCTGGCGAACCTGATGGCTCTTACAAGTCTATCCAAGAATGTCTGTTCCCAACACTTCTTCAGTTTGTTCTCAATCCATCTCTCACTCTTGCCTTTATCTTCGTATTCCTCCTTCTTTCTCAAGATGACCCCCTTACAGGTTTTCAGTGTCTGATCCCACATTTATTCAATACCCTTTACTTCTCTCTCTTTGTCAATGCCAATGACTTTAGATGATACAATAGGACGTAGGATATCCTCTTTGCTTTCATTGAGGGATTCGGTTTTAGTCTGTTTCTTTAAAGGTTCACCATCATTCTTAGGACACCAAGTTCTTACATGACGCTGGAGGTCGTGATTGTTCTCAAATACAATCCCACACTCGTCACAGGAGGGCATGCTCTCGTCTTCAAGGTTGTCTTCCAGGCTGTCAGTATCAACAGGGTCAGAGATGTTCAGCTTTTGAGTGTCTGCTGGCAACTGATTCAAGGACTCATTTGGCTCCTCTTTTATACTCTTGCTGAAAGTTACAAACTGTCTCGATACTGGCGGTCCTTTTGTCTCCATTTAAGATGGTCCTCTGTCACCTTTTGAGAGTATATTTGGCTGTAGTCGTTCTGATTCGAGGGTAGTGGGTCGTAGATCAAGTGTCAGATTGCCATAAGGTTTGTGAACAGCTGTTTCATACAGTGACATAAACCTATCAGTATTGTTTGGGAAAATGCGTCTAGCAAACAGTTGGACCTGAAGTCTATCCACTGGGGAATTAAAAAGGGTCACGTAGTGCGAATTCAGAGCAATGTCACGTGACTCTTTCCCTCGTGGAAACAGATTTTGTAGCAGTAAGAAGATAATGACATTTTTGTAATGAGAGGTTCGGGTAAATAGCTGACTGACACGTTTGTCATCCTTGGCTTCAGACATCAAGTCATCCAACACAATCATGTTGTTGTCTCTGGCATCCAAGTAGGTGTCGTCAAGTACATCGTAAGGAATTCCTTTCACAAACATCACATGGGGTAACTGTTCACAGATCACCTGGTACAGGGGCTGCCATTGAGTATAGCACCATATAATGTGATTAGGTGTTGGCTGTATACATCCTTGCGTCAGAAGGTTGTATACAAACATCGATTTGCCACTGCCGGTAGGACCCACAATGACTGCATCAGAGGGGGATGGTAAACTTGAAATGTTTAGGCGTAAAGTATTGCTGTTGCTGCTGCTGCTGCGGCTGCTGCTGCTGGGAATATTGCTGCTGCTGATGCTGCTGGGAATATTGCTGCTGCTGCTGCTGCTGCTTATTGTCTTCTGTGTGTTTATTACGCCTATGTCTGACTAAGTCATGAGGCCAGGTATAAGTCTTGGAACAGAGGGAACAACCATACATGTTGTCATGTCTATAGTCTCCTTCCAACTGTGATCATGTCATAAACTTAAGACTTTTTTATATCCACTACACAGACTGCAGATCTGCCTCGGGGATCCAGCTGTTGAATTTCTTGGGATAACCCATCCATTTGACAAATACTTTCTTCTGACCTTTTCTACTTTGTCTACACGCCACATGGTGTCTGCAGACTTATAGACTTTCTGAAGTTCATTCGCATAGAAGGAACCAATGACATGATCTCCTGCCATATCCTTGACTTTATAGTCCCAACGTGAATCCAAACCTGTAGAGACCACTCTGTTGCGTTTGAACTTGTATCTCAAAGGACGTTGTAGAGAATAAGCATCCTGATTAGCTAACCACTTCTTGATCCAATGTAAACCTATATCAGTTTTCCTTCCCTTTTCAAGATGTAATATAATTTTGATGGACCCGAGAAGGATGCTGGATGGTTGGGATTAAAGTAAATACTGGATATATAGTCCTCCCATCCTTCAGC